ATATATATATATATATATTCAGGCATTGAAGAAAGAGAAAGCGAAGATGCTGAGTGCATAAAAGTGTAAGCAACGCTAACAGATTTATTATTGCGCTAAAATTTTGCTCCCCGTCAACTTTCATTTTCAAATTTTAATTATCACACTGATCCTATATACACCGATCCTTTGAGGCAAAATTCCATTTCGTGCATAAAACTTACACTACACTAAAGCCACCGAAACACGGAAATCGAATGAGTTCACCTACCACTAGCCATTGAAACACGCTTATACAATGTCAGCACTAATGCAGCTAAAGATAAACGCTACAAGTGTACTCGGTCTCTGATGAAAATAAAAATCAGAGCGTAAGTCGAATGAAATTGGAGAATACTAGAAGCATAACGAAACTTCTAGAAGACAAAATTTGAAACAACGAAACATAAAAGAGACATTACGTTTTTTTTTACATTAGGAGACAAAAATTGAAACAACGAAACATAAAAGAGGCATTTTTTAACATTCCGTTGTTTCAATTTTCGCCTCCTGAAAGTTCCGTTTACGTTTCTATTATTCTCTCATTACATTCGATTTACGCTTTGATTTTTATTTTTACCAGGTCTGAAGACAAATTTCGTTCTGCGCAGATTAAATTCTAAATGCTTTTTAAACCGCGGTAATTTTGAAGTGACTAGCTCTAAAGATCAAAGAATACCTATCTTGGGCCTTCCACCACTCACATTGAATTTTAACAGTGACTTTTTTTTTATTAGGTGTACAACTTTGCTTCCGCCGTTTTCCTATAGATGGCTTTAGCGGTAAGTGATGGTCGAAATAAATAGATCATAGACGTCATACAATAAACTTGGGCATCTGTCAACATAACCCCATAGAACATTAGTCGATTTGTGTCTGCATCATAAAGTTATTCTCGATTGTAAATATCAGTTTACTAGCCAAATTCTCGTCATTTGCGGGAGGTTTTAATTTTTTGCTTCAATATGAAGAAATCTGCGGCTGAGGCTCATCGAATGCTCTCAAATACTTATGGTGAGGCCGTTATTAGTGAAAGAACGTGTCGTGAGTGGTTTCAACGCTTCAAGAACGGTGATTTTGACGTCCAAGGTCATGCTCTGTATTTGGTGGGACCAGCTCGGCGTAGTGTATTATGAACTGTTAAAACCGACTGAAACAATCACAGACGATCGGTATCGAACGCAATTGATGCGTTTGAGCCGAGCATTGAAAGATAAACGGCTGCAATACAACGAGAGACACGATAAAGTGATTTTGCAGCATGACAATAATTCGACCCCATGTTGCGAAAGTGGTCAAGACATACTTGGAAACATTGAAATGGGAAGTCCTACCCCACCCGCCGTATTCTCCAGATGTTGCTCCCTCTGACTATCACTTGTTTCGATCAATGGCACACGGTCTGGCTGACCAGCACTTCCGGTCTTATGAAGAAGTAAAAAATTGGATCGATTCGTGGATAGCCTCAAAAGATGACCAGTTTTTTCGACGCGGGATTCGTACGCTACCCGAAAGATGGGAGAAAGTAATGGCCAGCGATGGACAATACTTTGAATCATAAATGTATAACCAGTTTTTTACAATAAAGCCTCGAATTTCGGAAAAAAACCGGCGGAAGCAAAATTATACACCTAATACTTTAAATACCAAATTACAAAATAACTGTAATATAACGTATTATATTTTATTGTTATGTGGCAAATTATATCTAAGAGATATGTTTAACTTTGTGCTTGTTGGATTTGAATGTTTTCATGTTTACATACAATTTATTATTTTTCATGCAATGTATTTTAATATCAAATTATAGAACACAAAGAAAGAATTATTATGTACAAAGAATAATATAATAAAATTTAATACAATATAAAATAGAATTAAATCCTTTGACATAAAATATAAAATACATAAATTGCTTATACATGTTTATAACATTTTCGATAAACGTTTTATTTAAAAAGGATATATTTCATATATTTATAAAATATAATAATAAAATATAATAACATAAAATTTTGATTCACGAATGTCACTCGACCACCGAGGCTTCGGAAATATTCTTCGCAATTAGGGCTGATTATTCCATCTTTTGATAAATTTTACTTGTTGGATAAGTAGCAAAATTACCCAATTATATGTGAGGATTACCTCACAAGTAAAATTTACCGAAAGATGGAACAATCAGCCCTTATTGCAAAGAATATTTCCGAAATCTCAGTGGTCGAATTAGCTAAGACTCTTCCCGGAAAATTGAGAAAGAGAGAGAGGTTCAAATTCTAGCTGAGGTAATTTTTCGCAATTTCGCAATAAATTTTTTACTTTCTTTCTAATCTAATTTAGAGGGGATTATTAGCGTTTCAGAATAATTGTGTTAATTGAAAGTCCGAAAGTTATCGGCGAGCAATCAGATCTGAAATAAATTGATTTAATAAAAGAATATATGTATAATATATTATTCGAAACATCTAACTTTGACTGATCATGGCTTTGTTTATCGTATTTGATGTGTTCACAATCGTGCTTAAAATTCTTAAATGTTTATAAATATTCATTTTTTCAACATATAAATATAACCGTTTATCGTTGAGGATAAAATTCCAAAATTTCGGAAATATTGATCTATGAGGAAGCGCAGCCAAAAAAAATTCAAACCGATAGCATATAATTTTATCCTCATAATGATTAAATAATTATTCAACAATAAGAAACATAAGTAATGGCCGTAATAGTCAAGC